CTCAAGGTTATTCTTTTTATCCATAGAGGCTTAAATTAATCTTCTAGGCAAAAGACTTTCAACCTTGATTTAATTGTATGGATGTGTTTTATTGTACACAGAAATAAAGAGCTTACAGTTTTACAATTATATCTACAAGAGACAAAATGTCATAATCCAGTACCTTTAATTTTAGACCATATTAGAGTTACATGGAAATTCTGTTCTTTATTCCCCCTTAAGAAATAGAGTATATAGGTGGGTGTGTGTGTGCATGCGCGCGTGCATCTTTAGTGATAATACAAAATATCATAATAATCCCAATAGATAGCAGGGAAATAGTGTTTACAGAGGATGTATTTAGATTTCTAAACCTATTTTCCACATTCAAGTGGAAAATAGGGTTAGAAAACAGCAACCTGAATACACAGCTACGGGTGCTGCTTTGAATTCCTTCAACTTATCTCGGAACGCCTGTCGTTTAGGTCACCTACTCTGCAGTTACATTACCAAGCAGAATTCAGCTTGAACTATAGATAATGGGCTGATAGTGTAATTTATTTGTCCTGCTGGTAGTTAATAATGGATTTATGGAATGACTTATTATGCTAGCCTTCAGTATTAAAATTGCATGATATTAGAAGGACCTGATTTCTTATTCTGTCCAAATGGCAATCCTCTGAATTCCCTTCTGTTCCCTTTCAACCTAACCCAAGGGATCACTTCCACAGCCCTGATTTACTTTTGCACCTTTCCTGGGTATGTTGATCAAGGTAACAGCCTGACAAGGAGAAGGAAATAAAGACACTTATCACAGTGCATACTGTGTGTTGCACAATCTAAGCCATGTTAAAGCTTCAAGGATGTTTTTTGGTCCAAGGTAAATAACAGCCATTTACATTTGTATTGCAACCAGGCCCAAATACATTTTGCTTTTCTCCCTTGGATGATAAAAAATCAAAATGACAGGGGACCTTTGTGAAATGAGTTAGAAGGTCCTAGTCCAGTTCCTCGTGGACGGGTGTCCAGATGACAGAAGCCGTCATTGAATTTGGCATTAATTAGTATTTTTGTTAGCAGTTCCTGAAATACATTTACCTCTGGGGTGAAACATGACAGCTAATATAGAGCTGGTTGGGGAATGGGAATTCTATTTTGCAAAGGATTTTCCTATTTCAAAATCAGATTTCATTCTGGTTCAGAATGATAACCAAACATTTTTGAAATTCTCTGTGAAATGGAATTACTGATCTCCACCGAGCTCTAACACAGCCTGGTGGGCTGCCCCAGAGCTGGGGAACTGGGAGCCTTTGAAGCCCTAGATCCGCAGTAGTACAACCTGGTGGGGTGTGCTGGAGCCAGAGACCCTAACAGCCCTGCCTGGCGAGGAGTCACGAGCCTGGGAGCTGGGGCTCCCACAACTTCCAGGCTCCCGGCTTCCCATCAGCCCACCAGGCAGGCAGCTGAGGAGCTGGGAGCCTGGGTTCCCCACATCCTGCCAGATGGTCTGCCAAGGAGCCAGGCAGGTTTCTGATGGAATCCTGCCTGGCAGGCAAAGGTCCATTGGAAACGTGCTTGGTTTCTGTTGGGATTTTGTCAGAATTGACACAGTCCTATAGAATGTTCCAATTTCAACAAAACAGTAAATTCTGACCATTGTTTTTTTCTAACAAGCTCCACTAATTAGCAGTGGAGAGCAACATGATACCATAGTTTTAAACAAAGTCCAAATTAATTTAGTTCACAAAGTGACTCCTGTATAGAGCCAGGTGCATTGTAATTGCCCAAAGGCACATAAAGTGGATTAAACTAATTTGGATTAAGGCATTTTTATGCTGGAATAAGAGCATCCACAGCTGGAGTTAATCAGGAATAGCTATTTTGGATTAACACTCCATGTAGACAAGCCCTTAGTCTGATGAGTTGTGCCTTCTGTCATTACTCTGGCCACATTGTGCTAGCCCACTAGGCTGTGAGGTCATGTAAAGTGAAGACACAATACCTCATTACCCAGAAGAAGAAATAAGAGGGGTTGGTGAGGGATTGTAGATTTTATTCTCTAAAAAGAAGTCTAACACCCACAATGGCAAGCAATCTTCTCATTCTATAGTGTCCCTAGCAAATGCCCGCTGCATCCAATGCAAACAGATCAGCCCATGTACAGCTGTTATTTATAGCAGGGTCCCTCTGGCTCCTCTTCCCATTGGCACAGCTCTTCCATCTGGGTTCCCCCAATTCTGGAAAGCTGCCCTATTCAGGAAAGCATCTAAGCACCCACTTGAGTCCCCTCGAAGGTAGAGGAACTTAACCATGTGCGTTGTGCTTTCCTGAATTGGGGCCAGTGAGAGAGTTCTGCACAGAGCCAGCTGCACCACAATCACCCACAGGTACAGAGTCAGCAAAGCCACACCTGGGGGTCTGGCTGAGGACGTGGTGTTCCCATTCTGCTGGGACCCCCTCGGAAGCAATGGCAGGCAGGAGATGCTCCATCCTTGATGGATCCTGCAAAGCAAACACACAGGGGGTGAAAAATGATCCCTGTGAACATCCTGAGCTGTAAGTGTTGCTTGGCCCCGGATGGCCCCCTAGCATTACCTCCCTCATTTCTGCTTTTAGGGAGAGATTTCCAGAGGCACAAAGGGGAGTTAGGTGTCCACTGGTTTCATGGGAGAGTTGGGCAGCTAATGGCCCTGGCTGCCTTTGCCAATGTCCCCTTATTCTCATACACAGGCAATAACTTCTACCAGAGCAGCAGAGTATGGACTCTTTATCAGTCACTCCCCTCTGTGCTAAAGGGCCTGCTAGCATCTCCGACTCCAAGCTGTCACTATCACACAGTGCGGCTGCTGGGGATTTGTATCTCCTTGTCTCAAGGTGAGCGTGAAGCATCCACTCCCCTTGCAGCAGGCATGCAACCTTGCAAGCTGCCTGCTGACTCTCTCACTAGGCCTAAGGGAGGACTGTTCCAGCCTAATGGATAGTCTCCTCTGAAGGCTGCAACATTTGCCAGCTGTTCCTGCAGGGCCTCAGCTCGGCCTGCAGGGTGGATTTGATTTAAATCAAATTTATTTAAATCATGATTTAAATCACTAGTCAGTAAGACTTGATTTAATCATGGATTTCTACATAAAAGTGCATTCTTGTTGGTTGTTATAACCTTAATACATATTCTTCACAACTCAGAGATAGATGTAGGTTTCATTTTTAGAAGGTACACACTATACATTTTTAAACAGTGATTTATTTTGAAAACTTTTCAGATTGGTTTTACAGCTATATCAGAAAATGAATGATTGTTTGGTTATTTTGTTTATCAAAGATAACTGAAGCAGATATTTATGAAGTCATTGGGAGATGAACTATCTCCAATTCAACAGGTTAATCATTAATATTTGGAGGATTTTCTTGCCATGCTATATTAGGAGGAGAACATCACCAGACAGACATTTAAATTGTTTTATTTAACTAAAACAACAATGTTACATTTTCTGGATTTTTTTCTTCAACAGCAAACATATAATATTTTAACAAAACAAGCATATGAATTTTTGAATGTAGTTAAACATTCAAGTTTTTTAAAATCAGGTTTGTTTTTGTTAAAATTGTTTTTAACTAAAATAATTAAATGAAATACTTGAAAAAAAAATTAAATCGACGTCAGCCAGGTCAACATGAGAAACTTAAAATATTGGCTTCCGCAGCTAACTCAGTCGTCTTCACCTTAATTTTCCTGTTTGTTCATAATCTGGAAAAGAAAAACAAGCTTTCCTGCTTTTTCAGGTCCCAAACAATTTCTCAGTTTGGAATGAATTAGTCCAAAGGAAGAAAATATTCTTTCTACACCAGCAGAAGAAGCTACTGCTGTTAAAAGTGAGATTATCACTTCAACAGTCTCTGAATCCAAGTGCTTAAGTGACTTCCACCAGTTCACTGCTGTGACTTTCTTTAAAACATCATCAGCAAAATATATTTCTTGAATGGTTCTTATTCCCAAACTGGGTCTCTTTTATGGCCTGCTGCCATTATAGGTTTTCCCTTCTAGTGAGAGAATGGTATGGTAGATCTCAAATCAATGAAGGCTACACTCAGAAAGACCTAAAGACTTCTGGAATATGCTGCTCAAACAGTTTCACTTTTGTTTCCACTGCCTGTCCCTCCCTTCTCACATTTATCTCCAGACTTCTTCTGCTTGTCCAGATCTATTCCGCCCCCAACAATCTTCTATTCATTGAACTTTTTGAAATTTTGCACTTTTAGAGAGAGGTAAGGGATTGACTCTGTGTACACAAATTTGCAGAGGGACAATAGGGTTGAGGTCTGTTATTTCTCACCTCTATATATTATTTATTTATAAACGTGTTTTGCTGTTAACAAGCATGTTATCTCTGGAGACACAAATCCACAGTTTGAGAACTGCAAAACTAAGCATCTCTGATGATATCTTCTATACTGAGCACTGAGTCCCATTGGGTAGATAGAACGATTAACCTAAATAATCTATACAGAAGCCCCTGGAACCCCATAAGATTGGGTCCCAATCCATGAACTATTGGAACTCATTTACAAAACTTTTCTTAAACATTACCTGAATATATTGTCTCATACTATCGAATTAGAATTTATAATCCCTACTCCATGATGAGATATCTTTGAGCTATAATGTATCTTAATTAAAACTATCGTTAGATAGTTTTTTTCTCAAAAAGCATTTTATCAAAAAAATCCGATTTAAATAAAAAAATCTGTTTTTAAATTTTTTTTTTTTTTAAATCATTGATTTTTATCCACCGTCAGCCTGGCAGTGAAGAACTCACTCCTGTGTCTGCACATAGGCCATGTCCCCCGGTGCCTGCTTCCCAAGACCCATTCCCAACATGCCTGTCACACATGCTTCTACTGTAGCGTGTGTGTGTGCGTGTGTGTTGGGAGTGGATGGTTAGTGCAGGTAACTGTGATTGTTCAGCCATTGAGCACAATCGGCTCCCATTCTGACACCCATCCACACTGCTACTCACTTCCCTGAGGCCTTGCTAAGCCCAGTAGATAGGAACGTTGCTGCAGAGGATGTTAATTGTAGTGCCCAGGATGGAGCGATCAGCCAGAGGCATAGGAAACCCTTTGTCCTCCTCCTCCTCCTCCTCACCCTGCTCAGGCGTCGGGATGAGCGACTTGAGCTACAGCAGGAAATAATAAAAATTAAACACACACATCAATTACCCTGCACCCTTGTTTGCAGCAGGAATAGACACAGGCTATTGACATTCCCATATATCTTAAATCCTAAATGGCAATACGATACACACACTAAGTTTTCTCCTAGTGCCCACTATATTTTCAGCACCTTCACTCTGCCTGTGAGGATGGATTCCACATCTGGAGGGCTTCCCACATGGCCACTGCTTCTGAAGCAACAAAAATTTCTAGCAATGCTGCCCCGGCTGGTGATATACAGGCCAGCCTGTTTTAATGGGACATGGAATTATTTGAATATCAATATGGGAGGCTGTGAAGGCTAGTGATTATAGCAGATGATGAAAGATTCAGGACTCCTGGGTTCTGCTCCCACTTCTTGGAGGCTGTATGGTCTAATGGACTGGGAATCAGGACTCCTGGGTTCTCTTTTTGTCTCTGCCATTAACTCAGTGTGTGCCCTGAGGCACTTATCAGTATTTCTCTTTGCCATCAACCCCCCTTAGGGCTCTGAGGGTCAATCAGTGTTAGCAAAGCCTTTCCATGCCCTCATACATCACATGCTTTATGAGTGCAAATCATTCTCACAACAGCTGTTGAATGTAAAAGATCCAAATAGAGGAACAATTAAACTCCAGATGCTACTGTGAAAAGAACAGGAGTACTTGTGGCACCTTAGAGACTAACAAATTTATTAGAGCATAAGCTTTTGTGGGCTACAGCCCACTTCTTCGGCTGCAGAGGCTACTGTGGAATCACACACCAGCAACTAGACATACACTAGCCTATTTTGCATGTGTAGCTGTTTTTGCTGGTCCAGCTGATGCATGTGCATAACTCCAGGTGTCTCTGATGCACCATCCTTTGGAGGGTTTAATCTTTGGAGTCTAAATAGCCTCTTATCTCTGTTATCCATGTACTATCTTCCACACACACACACCCCCACATTCTTCTGTTGGCCTCAGATTCAGCATTGCATGAGTGCCATTTCCCCCAGGCATTCCTATACCTACCTCTATATCCAGCATGGTTCATACTGAGTGTGCATTCCTGGCTGCTCACCTGGAGATGCTGGTGGAATGCCTTCGCAGTGGTATCCAGGCCCTGAATGTTCTCCTTGTCCATCTTGGTGATGTAGCAGGCTTGGCCTTGCCAGGATTTGTAGCTGATCAGCAGCTGTTTGCAGACAGAGCACATGGTGATTTATAAGCCCTGGTTTCCTATCACTGCAGCTCCCCGCTATTCACTGGACCTGAATCACCCTCTCCTACTGCACAGCCACTTCTGCTTCCGCAACATCACACCGTTCCATCCCCCTCATGATGCTGAGCCCAGGAGCCTCCTAGACCCTTCATTGGCCTTTCCTTTTGAGACTTAAAGCCATCTGATTGAGATGGGCCAGGGTCGGTGCCATCACTCCAAGCCCTATCCAAAGTGTGGGGTTGGGTAGATAGGAGCTGGGTCCAAACCTCCTAGGAGATTGGTTTAGCAAGATGAAAATTGAGGCTTTGCAAATCCAAACCCACCTTCTTATTTTGCTTGTCTCCCCTGCACCCTCCTCCACCACCTTCCATCCCACATTGACCAATGAAGACAACACACCATCCTTCTCCCCTCATAGCCCCAACTCTAGCCCCATTCACTCCCTCTCTCACTTGGCTCTTCCTCTCTGGTCATGTTCCTCTTGTGGAGCTGGGTTTTCCGCATCTCTGGCAGCACCCATTTCCTCCCCTACCCACCAACCCTGCATCATGACAGAGGAAGAGGAGACTAAGACAGGATTCCCGTGTGCCAACACGTGCTGCTCCTTGCTTGTCCAGAGTGCTGTCTGTTGAGCGACCCAAGGGCTTTCCTCCCAGGGACTGACTCCCCTGCTCCATTCAGGGGCGTGATGCCGCCCCACTGAGGCTGGAACCCCTTCTGATTTTGACTGGAGGGGCTGGCACCCAGCAGTGCCTAATAACCTCTCAGAGTGCTTCTGTTCTAATGCAGCATCGCCACGTTTGTACTCGGATGCCCCGGCCATGCATGGGTTAAAAACAGCCTCACTCCCTGGACAGGAGGATTCAATGCAGGATCCCGGCCTCATGGCCTGATGGCAAGGGTCCGTTCTGAAGCACGCCCCCTGCCAAGCAAGCACTCCCTGCTTACATTACTGTAGTCGTACACCACTGTGCCCGGGTCATGGGTTCCTGCATCAATGTGGAAAGTCGCCACCTCTTCTTCCCAGTCCATGGAGAGCCGCAGTTGAGACTCTTCCCCTTCCAACCCCTCAATGGTCATTTGCAAAACCTAGGAGGAAATCATAGAGCCTAAAGAGTAAGCAGCAAGGAGAGCAGGGGGTGGGAAGATACGGAAGGGATGGGATGTCTATCATCTCTGCTATGGGTTCCCTGCATCAAAAAGCGCAACATTGCTCCATTCTAACCCATTTGAAACTCAGCCATTTCAAAGGGCCCAGGGACATTTTGCAGCTGCTTTTCATTTCTCTGTTGCTTCTAATAATCAACCCTGTTCCTTCCCTCAAGGCTGGCCAGGGCCCCAGAGTCTCTCGCAGAATGGGAAGGGTAAGTTTATTGGGAAGAGACTCTCAAGATTGATTTTGTTTCTCCTAAATGTTCTCCTGCTAACCCAACAGAACGAGGCCTCCCTATCTCTTCCCTGCTGTCCACACGTATTGTGATGCAGGGTAGACAGGATCTGTCCCAATGGGCCAGGATTTCAATCAGCCCTCTTGGAATTAAATGTGACTGCAACATCTTCCTCTGACTTGGTCCTTGACTTTGCTCATTCATGGATGCAATCTGTCCCCTCTGTGCCAATTCTGTTTCCTCCAATGAATGACTGCCTGAGTCCCCTCTGCACCCAACAGGACCCCATCTGCTCTCTCTGCACCCGTGCGTGACTGCCCCAGTTTTGTTCTGCATCTCTGTGCATCTGTCCCCGCTTTCTCTGCCTATTGCTAGACTTGGGCATGGTGACAGCGATCTCTTCTGCAGGGCTGCAGCTGTCCCCTGGGCACCTATGCAGGGCCGTACCCTTTGCACAAGTCCCCTTTGCACCTACACAAGGCTGCACTATGGTCAGCTGCATGGATCCCCATTGCATCTGTGCCTAGCTGCCGCTATCCCCTATTCATCTATAAACTGCTGCATTTGGGCATGATTTTAACACTTTCCTTTGCACCTGTGCACAGCCTCAACTGCTCCTTCTCCCCCTTACTTACAGTCTCAGTGTGTTCCTGGGTCACGTGCAGTCCCAGCAGCAGGGCTCCCAGGACGACCACAACTATCAGCACAATGACCACCACGATGATTAGGATTCTCTTGATGTGCAGGGGGCAGCCAGGGAGCTTGGGCAGACGGCAGAGTAGCTTAGGGAGGCAGCAGAAGACACGTTTCCAGCAGCTGCAGCAGGACTTGCAGCTGGGGCAGCCTGGGCAGCAGTCAGTGCAGCTGGGGCAGCTGGGGCAGCAGTCAGTGCAGCTGGGGCAGCTGGGGCAGCAGTCAGTGCAGCTGGGGCAGAGGTCCATCTCTGAATCCAGAGCATTGTAGTGCTGGGGACACAAGCAAACAGAGAGAGAGAGGTCACTGCAGGAGGGACTGAAATGCAAAGCAAAAGGGAACAGGAGGAGGTGGAGAGGAAAGGGGTGTGAAGATGAGAGCGAGGGAAGGAGACAGGACTGGGGAGAGAGAGACAGAGAGAAATGAAGTGCAGGCACAGTATTTGGGCCTGGGACGGACCATGGTTTTAAGTAGCATCTTCCATGCTCAAGAGTGTCTCCAAGTGCTTTTTAAAGTAGCGAGCTAGATCCCAGCACGGTGGCTGACTCCGTAGGCAAGATACCTTACTAATAGCTCCTATGCAGTCTCGGGCAATAGCCCCGGCTTTCTGGGGAGAAGCACTGGTTGAGTCAGCAGGGTCATACCCCCTCCTCTCTCTGGGGTTCACCATTTGATAGTTCTCATGCACCCTTAACAGCTGCCAGAGTGGTTACATTTCAGAAATGTGCGGTTGGTGACTCTCAGCCAGATCTGCACCCAGCTGAGCACGGCAGCTCAACAGGCATTGGGGGAACCAAGGAAGCAGGTGAAATGTCTTGTACATCATTATGGACAGGTGCAAGTACAGAGACACACCTGGAGACATGCATACACACATACGAAGACACACAGACACACAGGTTCACACGCCAACCCACACCCTGCAAGCTGGGAGGAAAGGAATCCGCCGCTGACTCATAACCGTAGCTGGGCACTAGAAACTATTGGAGCTGCAATGTATGAGCTACGGGGGATGTGGTAGCTTTTTCATGCCCTTTGCTAAAACCCAGCCTGGGGAGGAGGGGATGAGGCTGAGGCTTACCAGCGGGTCCTCAATCAGAGCCTCCTCGATGCTGATTTCCATCTTGCTGCTTCTCCTGTGCCACTTGGACATCTCCTCAGTGTGTAGGGCAGAGAGAGACTTAAATAGGGGACCTGAGGTAAGAGAAAGTGAGGGGGGAAGGGATGCTGGAGTTCCCCAGCTTCTTCTGGCTACAAATCAAGTTTCTAATTCACTTCATTTTTGTTTGTGAACCTGTTTCCCTGGAGCCCTTCAGAGCTGGGTTTCTGATAAGCTCCTGGGCCCGTGTCAGTTGAGAGTCTCCGAGGACACTTGTCTCTGGGCACATGGGCCTCTTAGTGCCCAAGAGCTGCAACCACAGGGGTTCTGAGGCCAAAGTCATCCAGCTCCGAGGGGCTAGTGCTGCCCTTCAGGCTGGAGTATCCGGCCCGTCGATATGGCCATGGCCAGGCTTGGCTCAGTGCCCCGAGTCTCTGAGCCCCTCTGGCACCTGATGGTGCTTCAGATGTTCAAAGCAAAAGCCGAAAATCAAAAGCCTTTCACGAGAGCACTAGTCGTGAGTGCCCGGGCCCTTATCGGAGTGTGGGCAGCCAGGGGCCTTTGGGGAGGGGCCTTGTGCAAAACTCCGTCATTTCCAACAAGTGTTTGCACCACCACCTTGCCCAATCTCTCCAAGGCGGCGACTTCAGGAGAGATGGAAACTTCCTGGGGCTAACACTGCTGCATCCTTGTGCTACCAGGGCTGCAGTTTCCTGCTGTAGGCTAGGTGGGAGCATGGACACCTCAGGAGCTGGGAGGGGGTGAAGAAAGGAAGCTCTGAATGGAGTGAGACCTTCAGCAAGGGAAGCTTGCAGGGATGCACCTGCACAGAGATGTGGAGCATAGGTACCTTGGAAAACTTGCCCCTGGGTACAGGACCAGCGCAGGTCCCACATATGCCCCTGCTGAAGTGGGACTTAGGTGATGCATAGTCATAGCCAAGAGTGCAGGGGACTGGACTAGATGACCTCTTGAGGTCCTTTCCAGTCCTATGATTCTAGGATTGTGAAATTCACCCACTGAGTGAACTGATCTGAGTCATTAAGACATGCCAAACTCCTAGGGTGAAATCAAAACTCCCCTTAACTTCCTTGGGGCCAGGATTGTGACCCAGTTTTGTAAAGTTATTTAGGTGTTGCTGTGCAGTGCCTAACTGATTTAGCAGCCTAAATATCATTTTCAAAAGTGATTTAGGCACTTAGGAACCAAAATCCCATTGACTGTCAAGGGAATTTTGACTTTTAAATGCCTAAATTTCATTAGAAAATGAGATTCAGGCTCCTAAATCAGGTAGATGTTGCAACCTTTAAAAATCTGAGCCTTCACCTTTAACTCCAGCTGGCCTACAGCCAACCCTGAACTCACATCTGGCCTTGACCTACCTGCTGTTCTAATCCAGTTATCTATCTATGAGTATCAATATTGCCATACATCACTGGTATCTGAGCGCCTTCCACATAAAATCAATAGCACTAGCGAAGTCTCTGGTTGATTTCATGGAGTCTCTAGCACTTCTTCCTTTTTTCAGGGTAAAAAACTGTTTGGGGAAGGGATTTTGTTTTTCAAAATTTTATCAATTGACTTTTGAGGTTTTGGGTTGATTTGTTCCAGGGTAGGATTTTTAGGTGGTAGTGTTTTATTGGGTAGAAGAGGGGGTCAGTGCTGGGGCTTGGGATCCGAGGGGGGTCAGAACTGGTGTTTTGGGGTAGAGGAGGCGGTCAGGTTTTGGATTTTAGGGTGGGTCTGTGTTGGGGTTTGGAGGTAGAAGGCAGTGTCAGTGCTATGGGTGTCTGTTGTATGGTGAAGAGGCCTTTTCAAAGGGGAAGGTTTGGCAGTGTTTCCTACAGACGGTCAGACTTTCTGGATTTGTTTGATTTGCTTTGGGACTTTGTGTCATAGTCAGATCCCTTCGACAGAGAATGCTTTATCTCCAGCTCTCAAGGGCTTCGTCCTGGGCTTTGAGATCTGCATTGCCCCAGTGGACCCCAGCTATCGTGGTGGTTCATAGATCAAAAATCAGCCATTGATGTAGCTGGGGCTTGAGCCATTAATTGTTTTTAAAATTAAGAGCAAGGCCTTAAACTGGGATTGGAAGCTGACTGGGACCAGCAGAGGGACTTGAACACAGGCCTGATGTGCTCACGGCAGCCTGAGCCAAGGAGAAGGGGGCAGCTGCATTCTGTGCTAGCTGGAACCTGTGTATCATGTTCACATTCAGATACATTGAGTTACAATGATCCAGCTGGGAAGGGATGAATGCAGAGATCACTGTGGACAGGTCCTCAGTGGGAGGAAGTTTCCTAGTGAGCTGGAGGAGAAAGGAAGGCATTGGTAGATACTCATGATACCCAATCTTCCAAGCTTAGCAAGGAGTCCAACAGTTCCAGGGGTCACATCTCTCTGATGAATGGAGCCTTCAATGGAAGGTGGAGACACTGCCTCGACCAGTTCTCCAAAGCGTTTCCCCTTTCCGACCAGCATCACTTTGGTCTCGCCAAAGTGGGCCCAGCTGCTCTTCATCCAAGAGCTGATCTCTTGCAGGCATTCCAACAGTTGGCCTTGAGCTTTCTCCTCTTCTTCCACTGTCCCAGAACCCACAGCTGCCAGCACAGACCTTGAGAAAGAAACGGTTGCACATTCCTCAACCCGTAAGAGCCAGGAGCTCCCCAGCCTCCCTGCTCAAGGGCTTGGAGGAGCCTGCGGATTTGCTGTCTGACTCCTGACAGCCCTGGCTCTGGTTTCTGCAGACTCTGAGTGCCTGCCAACTGTCAATGGGAAGGTCTCTGCATTTTCCTTGCTCTGTGCAATGTGTTTTCTTAGTGATGTTTGAGGGAGGGAGGGAGAGAGAATCAAGTAGCTCTCAGGGCCATTTACCCTCAAACATTCTTTATCCTGGAGAGAGTCCTTAGAATCCTCATCCGCTCCATTTGCTGCATGAAGCCCATCCCAGACATTCTCTTCTCCCCACACCCGCCCCGCTCCTCAATCGCAGTGGGAACATATTCTTGATCTTCTGCCTCATTACGTCACCTGTGCGAAGGCTGATGTTGGGTAACAGGCAGACCAGGGACATCAAATAATGGAGCTGAGCCGGGGTTTGTTGACATCTCAATGGCTTGGCATTGCAACACACTGACACACGGGGGACTGGGGCTGGGATGCTGATTCCACTCGGCCCAGATCTCCCAGCACAGGCATCAACACAGAGGATGGTGTCCTACTTCTCTGGCGGCTGAGTGAGCGATTCATAGATTCCCAGGCCGGAAGGGACCATTATGATAATCAAGTTGACCCGCTGTATAACACAGGCCACAGAACGTCCGCAGAATTCCTAGATCAGATCTTTTAGGGAAACATCCCATCTCGATTTAAAAAGTGCCAGTGATGGAGAATCCACCACGACCCTGGGTAAATTGTTCCAATGGTTAGTTACTCTCACGGGTAAAACCGTACCCCTTATTTCCAGTCTGAATTTGTCTAGTTACAACTTCCAGCCTGCTTCCTATTGCCAGGGGTCGAAGAGCCGTTTTCCGTTTTCCAGGTTTGTTCCACTTGGCACTGGCCAGTGAGCTCTTTTGTTTAACTGGCAGGTCATTGTCAGCCTAGCCAATTGCGTTGTAAGAAATCCGGGGCTTAGACCCCTCTTCCTATGATGGTATCTGCCAGTTCTAGGGGAGATTGACCCTGCCTGACAGTTTAACCCTACACTGCTGGTGTTCAATCTCGGTCTATCTCCCTAAGATGTTACAGCAGCGAGTTTTAATTGGTTTAAAAGTTTCAAGGAGGGTATCACATGAAAAATGTGCCTTTCCTGTTTCATCACTTGTTTCCTAAAGGAGATGGTACCAAGCTGCAGAGTGGGATCTTAACTTTCCCAGAGCTCGGGGATGTTCAGATCCAAGGTTGTGCTTTAGGTTGGATAGCTAAGGGGAATCTCTGTCCCCTGCCAGTTGTTCTTCTGTTCCCTTTCCAGGGCTAGAGGGTGAGACCATTATACTGATGCACAGATGAGCAGAGTCAGCACAATCCATCCACAATCGTGCTGTAGTAGTGTATGTGCACGCTGACAATGTGACACACACACACATACTGCTATGCATGCACACACTATAACACCCCATACATATACGCATGCCAGCACACTCACTTATGCACACCCACAACCACGTGCACAGACGCGCATACCAACACACTTCTACAAACACGCAGACACAGAGTCCTGTGTGGAAACACACACATACACTGGGACATATGCGCTCAGCTACAGACACATACAAAGACACGTATCACCAACACTCTCCTGTACAGATGCACACTGACATCCCTCCACCTCCTGGAGGGGTTGGAAAGCATGGTGAGATAAATCATTTTAAACTGGATTCTGTAATGAATGGGGAACCGGTGGAGCTGTCTGCAGGGGAGGACATGGGTTCACCTGGCCGTGCTGTGAAGGCCTCAAGGACAAGCCACGAGCTAGGGAGAGCTTCCTGTGCATTGTGACCCATCCTGTTCACAACTCTCTCAGCTTGCTCAGTTTTTGTTTTGTGGTTGTGGCAGCTGCTGGGCCACCTGATGATCCCCATCTTCCCAACTCTGCAACCTGAGCGTCCAGTACCAGCACCAGGCCCCCTTGATGCTGCATAAAGAGTCTGACACAACAGAGAGAGGCCAGAAGTACAATAACACAGGAGTCACCTGAGTGGATCTGTCCGCAGACCCGCCAAGGCCAGTGTCTTGTTTCTGACAGTGGCCAATAGTGGATGCTACAGACGGAGCAACCCCTCCATAGGTCACCTGACCAAATTTGCAATTGTGTGTGTGTGTGTGTGTGTGTGTACACACATATTTGCATTTCTTCCTTCTCCCCTGCAGGAAGCTGATTAGCCCCTGCAGTATGAGATTATCTCACCCCTAATTGAAGATAACAGCAGGGCTGGGGTTTTCCATTTGTTTCATGGGGAATTGTGTGTCTAAATCCCAAAGGTGATGTTGCAAATCTCTGCCCGGGTTATTATTTATCATATAATCACCCAGCCTGTTTACAAATCCAGCTCCAGGATCGATGTAATAACCGGATGCGTTATCTGTGTCCCAGCTGCACTGAAATCTGCTGAGTGATCACACACGGCGAGGAACATTCAGCTTGTGCAGAGGGGCCAGCGCAAGGGCCAGGCACTACTGATGTCCTACTTTAGCCTTTGTCGGAGGTGCACTGCCAGTCACTTGCCCACAGTCAGATAGCAGGTCAATAGCAGAGCTGGGAATAGAAGCCAGACCTCCTGACTCCCAGTCCAGTGTTCTATCCACTAGACATCACTGCCTCTCAACATGTGTGAATTTAATCAAGGCCCTGAGCAGTTTTGATTTAATCAATACCATACGGCAGGATCCAGCAGAGAAAAAGACAAATCTCTCTAAGAAGAGAATAAAGGAAGCAGCATGTTGGTTCTATGGAGATTTTACTCTTCAGACAGAAGCACAAACTCATATACGAAACTCTCGTTTTATTGCAAGCGCCACCTGAAAATTCCCAGCTGCTTTGTGTGGCAACAGAACAAAAGCTTTGCAATGGCTGGAGATCATGCAGCCACCCACCCGCCGGCCCACGGGCCGAGCTTAGGCCCAGCTGTGCGGTGATTGCACATGGAACGTAGTCATCATTGTAAGAGAGAAGCCCCAGCGCTGTGGATACAAGGGCGCCATGCCCATCTCACTGGGAAGTGACTGCAGGAATGCGGAGCTCAGACTGCACGGGGACCTGTAAGATAAATGGTGGAGCATGAGAAGTTTGAGCTACAATAGCCGCAGCCCTAAGAAATCCATACAGAGAAAGCCACCTGTGGCCAGGTAACCTTGTTTGTTTTCCATCTCACTATTTATTATTTGCACTATGGTAGTGCCCAAGGTCCCAATTGAGCTTGGGTGCTGCATTGTGCTAGGTGCTGTACATACACGTGCTGAGGTCTGTGCCCCAAAGAGCTCACAGTCTAAATGGATAGGACAGCCAGAAGAAGTGTCATTATCCCCCTTTCACAGATGGGAAAACTGAGGCAGAGAGAGAGAGAGAGTAAGGGCCAGATTTTTAAGGGATTTCAATGAGAGTTAGAGGCTTAAACACCTTTAAAAACCTGGCCCCATGTGACTTGTCGAGGGTCACACAGGAGATCTATGGCAGAGCAGGAAAGTGACCCCAGCTCTCCTGAGTTCCAGCCCAGTGCCTGAACCACAAAGCTACCCTTTGGCTTTTGTTATATTTTATACACCTGCCAACCCAGGCAGCAGAGCAAGTGCTTCCCAGCCAAGTCTGCAAGCGAAAGGGCCAAGAGGAGGCCATCCCCCACGTGCACACACAGTCCCTTGGGTTCTCAAGCCTGATTCCACCCGTGCCACGTAAAACTCTGCAGCGATGCTGCTAACGAGTCAATGAGAGACTGCAATGGCCTCCTGCTGACTGTTGCATTCTGGTTTCTCTGCGCAGAGCAGGTGGAAGTCTTGTCTTTTTACCAGCCGGATGGAGACATTTCTTCTGCATCCTGCTTGTCCGGAGCCTGGTGGTGATTTGATGGTTGGGAAGGGATTTGATTGGTCTCTGGCAAAGAGCTTGTTGCTTTTGCAACTCTGTGTGCGTGGCGGGGGCGATCCTCTGGCAAAGGGCTTTTGCAACTGTGTGTGTGAGTTGCTGTAGGCAGTTCTGATTGTTCACTGAGTAAACCCAGCTCCCCTTCCGATACCCAGCTGCTCTGCTGCTCACCCACCTGAGAACCTTGCTAAGCCCAGTAGATGGGAACGTTGCTGCAGAGGATGTTAATTGTAGTGCCCAGAATGGAGCGATTGGCCTGGGGCACAGGGAACCCCACCTCCTCCATCTCTTCACCCTGTTCGAGCTAGGACAGGAAATAATAGAATTAGATATGCATCACCCCCACACATAGGGTGACCAGATGTCCTGACTTTATAGGGACAGTCCTGATATTCGGCGCTTTTTGTTATATAGATGCCTATTACCCCCCACCCCTTGTCCCGATTTTTCACACTTGCTATCTGGTCACCCTACTCACACACCATTACAGGAACTATAATTTATAGCCCGGGCTGGGGGCCTAGGAGTTTACAATCCTTGGACACCATCAGGTGCTAATCGTTAACAGTATGTGCTCACGTCGTCGTTTTTTTCCTGCTCTGGAAACTAAGCTCTCAGTGCTTCAGAATAGCTGTGGGAGCATCCTGTGCTGTATGAGGACGTCCAACCCACCCACCACTACTCTCCTGCACTAGCAATGCTCTCCTTGCCCAAATATTAGATTATCCTACCTTGCCAATACATTGATCGAGCTGGTACAAGAGAGGCAGTGTCTTCTAGCAGCGAGAGTGTGGAGGTTTGGGGTGAGGACTCCTGGGTTCTGTGCCCAGTTCTGCCACTGCCTAGGCAGGCGACTTTGGGGAGGTCACCTTCTCTTCCTGTGCCTCCACTGTACCCCGAGTAAAAGGAGTACACTGCTGACTTGCGCTGCACCTCACTCTGTGTGCATGTGATTCAATTACCAGTCACAAAGCCTTTGGAGAGCCTTCGCTGGAAGCCATTTGATAAGGGCAATTCATTCTTTGCACCCCCTTGTGGTTGTATGCATTGAAAACTGTGCATGAGGCATGGAGCAATTGCTCCTGTGCTGGCCTGAGCCCATTTTCCCCAGGATGGGGAGGTGGTGATCCTGCAAATGCCCACCGTGGGGACAATGCACTTAACAATTAACAATGCAGTCACTGGTGGCACACAGTCACTGTAGCCTCTGCCTGCTCTGTGCAGGCAAATACTCACCAGTTGCTTTGTTTATAAGTTTGGCTCTGACACCCAAATTCAGGCCTCACAGAGCAGGGTGCAGCACCTACTGACTTCAGTGGGAGCTCAAACTGCGTACACCCAGGCTGGTGCACTCTGACTGCAGACAGCTTTCTCCCAGGGACTCAGAGAGCAGCCTCCAGCCTCTGCAGTGTTTTAATCTTTCACAAGTTTCTCACTCCCAAGTGCCCTTTCTCCCAGCACTCCTGTGCCCGCCTCTGTACCCGGCACAGCTCACACTGAGTGTGCATTCCGAGCTGCTCACCTGGAGATGCTGGAACACCTTGGCAATGGTATCCAGGCCCTGAATGTTCTCCTTGTCCATCTTGGTGATGTAGCAGGCTCGGCCTTGCCAGGATTTGAAGCAGATCAGCAGCTGTTTGACAGAGCACAGGGTGACTTTTAGCCCTGGCTTCCCATCCTGGCAGCTGCCCAGGTTGTATTCACTGGAGCCGAATCACCCTCTCAAACTGCACAGCCCCTTCTGTTCCACCATTGTCACCCCCTCTCCATCCTCCTCTTGTCTGCTGAACATGGTGCTCAGCCCAGGAGCCTCCTATACCCCCCACGGCCTTTCCCTTTGAGACTGTAAAGCCATCAGCTCGAGATGGGCCAGGATTGGTGCCGTGTCTGCAAGCACTCTCCAAAATGTGGGGGTTGTGTAGATAGGAACTGGATCCAAACCTCCTTGGGCTTGGTTTTGCAAGATCGAAACACAGGCTTTGCAAACTCAAACCCACCTTCTTATTTTGCTTGTCTCCCCTGCACCCTCCCCCACCACCTTCCCTCTCACATTGACCAATGAGGACAGTGCCCCATCCATCTCCCTTCGCTGCTTATTCACTCACTTTTTATTGCTTGCATTAACACTTGAGTGTTTTTCTCTCTCTTTATTTCCCCTGGGACCCACTTTTCTTTGCTTACTAGCAGCCAGGAAGTGATGTCAGAGTGTGGTCAGTTCACAGCCAGGTGTGACATCCGCATAATACTGGGCCCAAGCCACACAATCCAGGTCTGGGGGTGGGATTTTGAACACCCCAAATCTTGGGTGTATTCAGATCTGGGGTTTTGGTTCGAGCTTGTCTCTAGGGTCCATACACTGGCTTGGCTCAGCCTGAATCTGCGACAGTTATATGGGCCAGGCTGAAATCACTGGCTCCTCTACCTCTAATCAAGAAAGTGGTAGAGACTCCAGGGATTCTAACCTGCTCTAGTCCGACCGGCCAGGTCTCACCCAGTCTGAGCTATGGGTATAGCAATGAATGTTCCCTGTAGCTCCAGCCAGCTTTGCCTGGGTGGCCCCCTGTTTGGAAGAGGCTCCCCCGAGCCTAGTGAAACGAGCGTGCCCTACTTACGTGGTGGTAGTCGTACACGACAGTGGCTGAAGAATTGATCCCTGCCTTGATGTGGAAAGTCCCTGTCCTTTCTTTCCCACTCATGGAGAGCTGCTGCAGGGACCCTTCCCCATCCAGGCCCTGGATAGTCATTCGCAAAACCTAGAAGGCAAGGAAAGCCACAGAGTGAGGCGTGTCCAGTGCGGGGGGCTGGGTGGGTCAAAGCAGAAGATGTGATGCATCAACCATTCATTGCCTATACGCTGAAGAAGTGCCCTCTTTCCCAGCAGCACTCCCTTCGTCCCTGCTGACTCAGTGCGGGCAGAGACATTAGTAAATCGGAACCCCGGGCTGCAGTAGCTTCCCGTTTCAAGGTACCTCCTGAAACTTTGCTGAAGTCTTTCGCTTCTTTGCTGGCCCTGATAGTAGAGCGCTATTCCTCTAGTGTCCCAGTCTCCTCTGCAGCTGTCTGTGGTTCCAGCTGTCCTCTGTGCTTGTCCACAGCTCCACTTGTTCCTGCTGCCCTTGTGTACTGGAGCAGCCTCTTTACCTGGCTGTTCCTGCCTCTTAGCACTGGTGCACAGGTGCATTTCCCCGTCTTCTTGAGTTCCCTTTGCAGCTGGGTGTGGCTGCACCAGCCCCATGCTGTAGCAGCCCACTTTGCCTGGCTGCATCTGCTTCCCTGTGCTCCTGGGCATGGCTGCCGCAGCCTCAACGTGCCCCTGTCCCCTCTGCACTGGCACACGGCTGGACTTGCCCCTGTGAACCACTGCCCCCGGGTTTTTAACGCTGTACTTACCGTTTCTGTGTGCTTCTCGGATATGTGCAGTCCCATCAGGAGGAAACCCAGCACAACCAAGACTATGATCACAACCACCACCATGATGATCAAGAGTCTCTTGAGGTGAGGGGAGAGGCAGGGGATCCTGGGGACGGGAGTGTAGTCCTGTGGGAACAGAAAAGAACAGTAACAGCAAGAAGAGCTGATGTGGGTATGCTGGAGGGACAGGACCCCCCCCCCCCGCCCCTTTATTATATGTATTCCTGTAGCACTGAGGAGCCCCAGTCATGGCCCAGGACCCTATTGTGCTAGGTGCTGTACAAACACAGAACAGAACTGTCTATTCTCTGTTCATTGCCATACCGGAGGGGCCTCTATCAGAGCCTCCTTGCTGCTAACATCCATCTTGTTTCTTGTTCTGCAGACCCTGGCCGCCCCTGTAGTGCTTCTCCAGCGATAAAACAGCCCCTGGAGGCTCCGTGGCTGGAGAGGGGCTTATATAGGGGACTCTGAGATAGTGGAGGGGCGGAGGGCAAGGGGAGGGCATGCTGGAGTTCCCCAGGCCCTTCTGGCCACAAGCCAAGTGTTCACTTCATTTTTGTTTGTGAACCTGTTTCCCTGGAGCCCTTCAGAGCTGGGTTTCTGATAAGCCCCCGGGCCCGTGTCAGTCGAGAGTCTCCGAGGACACTTGTCTCTGGGCACATGGGCCTCTTAGTGCCCAAGAGCTGCAACCACAGGGGTTCTGAGGCCAAAGTCATCCAGCTCCGAGGGGCTAGTGCTGCCCTTCAGGCTGGAGTATCCGGCCCGTCGATATGGCCATGGCCACGCTTGGCTCAGTGCCCCGAGTCTCTGAGCCCCTCTGGCACCTGATGGTGCTTTAGATGTTCAAAGCAAAAGCCGAAAATCAAAAGCCTTTCACAAGAGCACTAGTCGTGAGTGCCCAGGCCCTTATCGGAGTGTGGGCAGCCGGGGGCTTTTGGGGAGGGGCCGTGGGTCAGTCACATTCTGTCCAATGTGCTGAACGGGTCATGGAGTCTGATCCTTCAAACACTGGAGTGTTCCCTCTCGGTGTCTCGTCCCAATGTTGTCGCTTCCACATGTTGCAATTAGAGACAGACCCAAACCAAAGCTCTGAGCCACCCTCTCTCTTGACACTGAGGGCTTCAAAATCTGGTCTCAAACCTGGATCTAAATAATTGCAGCTGTGGACAGCCTCTGGGGTAAGGGACCTTATACTAATAGAGGTGAGACCTTTGACAGGGGAAGTTTGCAGGGCTGCAGCTGGGCAGAGATGAGCTGATTTCTACAGCTCACTGAATGAATGCAGGCACTTCCTAACACACCAGCTGGTCCCCAGTGAATTTTGACCTCTCTGCTGTTTGACAGCTAACCTCTGACCCTGCTCCAGGTTGATCTGACCTTACAGTTGTTTTGCAGTTAACCATGGCCTGACAGCTGCTCAGCCTGACCCTGTCTGCAGCTGATTGCATAGGCCTTATGACAGAACATAAAAGGACTGGCAATGGTACACAGCTATTAGGTCCCCAGCTTCCCCGCCTGAGGCCTCGGAGCCTGCACAGAACGGAGGTTGCTCCTTTGTGCTGGTTTTGCAGTGGGGGTGCTGGCCCAGCCCTCAACAGGAAGAGCTCTCCTTGTATTTTTCTTGCCCTCAGGCTATCAGGTGCACCTTGAGCTTCAGGACTGCCCCCAGCTTCCTGCCCTGCTTCCTGGAGAAAGTACAGATGGAGCAATGATGAACCCTGTGCACTGAGGCCCCTTCCAGTGAAGGGGAGCTGGGCTGCCCTAATGTGTCCTGCCCCAGATCCACCCATCCCTTCACTCCATAGCTTCTGGCCATGTCCCTCCCTTTGCCGTCTCCCCTCTCCTGCCCCATGGGAGCTTAGCTCCGTGACAACCCCAGGACTTGCCTATCACTTCTCCCCCTGCCTTGCCTCCGCTGGGCCCTGGGACCCTTGTTTGTTTGTTGTCAGTGTCCTGGCCTCAGGCCCAGCTGCGGAGAGTAAGAATGCCCTCTATAGAGCCATCCCCTCTCATTGTTAGCCAGGAGAAGGCTGTGCCTGGGACGGGAGCCACTGTTTGGCGTGTGCCTCATGAGTCACTCAGCTCATCATAAAATTATCCAAGAGCAGCTCAGCAACGACGTGTCAGACGGGAGGGGGTTGGGGAGCGTACGGGGTGGTGGTGGCGGTGGTGGCAGGAGTTGATGGGGGAGGGAATCGGGGGCATAGGTAGAATGCTGCAAACCCAGGGGCACAGGGCAGAGAGATCGGAAGGAAATGAGCAGGCAGGGAGGGCAAAGCCGTGGCCCCCGCTTCAGGTGGGAGGATGCTGCTGCAGGTGAAGGCCTCTGTACTACTGGCGAACGGGAATGAGTGTGATGGGGAGGGTGAGTCAGCAAGGGCCAGAAGCCAGTGGAAGAGTCTGTGCTTTAACTGCCTTAATTCTGGCAGTTCTCAGGATACATACAAGAGCACTCAGGTGCACACACTTCCATGTGCACACCTGTTCACCCACTCAAGTACACCGACCCACATGTACATAGTCACACACTCATGCATGCATGTGCACCCCATGTTCACACACACATATAAACAAACACACAAACGCACATAGAACATACACAACCCAGGTGCACACAGGCTCATGCAGTCACAGAAGCGCACACAGACTCTCAGGTACATAAGAGCCCAGTCAGAGCCGTTCACAACCCATACATGCTCCATTGTGCACAGCCCCGTACATACAAAGTACACACACAGTCATATATTTGTATACACACCGCATTTGCATGCACACTACAAACATTCACAGTTACATTCTTGCACATGTATTTTCAGATTCACATGCACACACAGAGACACACATATGTATTCAAACACGCCTGCAGAATTCATACCTAGAGTGAGAGACACACATACACAGTTACATTCAGTACATACACACACTCATGCCTGCAAACACACTAGTGCATGCAGTATGCACACGCACACATGCTATTGCACGCGGCACACTCACACACTCCCCATGCACCACAGAGATCCCTAGCCGTGATATCACTTAGACGAATCATTCAGCAGCAAAGCACTCCTGCTTCCCCCACCCCAGCAGTTGAGTGTGGTGCTCTGCAGAGAAGCATGATGGACTGTGGCATCCTCACTTCCAGGATTGCTTCAGCTCTTCACTGCAGCTCCTGGGCTTGAGAGCAAAGCCAGGAGAGGAGGGAGGATTACAGAGCAGAGCTGAAGCAACAGTCCACGGGGGCGATTCTTCTCCTGCAGGGGAGGGAGGCCAGGTCAGGGTGATGGCTGAGCTGCAGCCAGGGAAAGTGATGCGGAGGGGGCAAGTCCTTGCCTTCCTCTTGATCAGCCTGGCCTACCTCTGGCTGCCTGCAGGCTCCAAGCGAGCCCCCAAGCTGCCCCCATGTCCCCAGAGCTGCTCCTGCACCAGGGACACTGCCTTCTGCATCGACTCCAAAGCGGTCCCCAGGAACCTGCCCCCGGAGGTCATTTCCCTGTGAGTATCAGCAGAGCAGGAGGGAGTGGGTGGAGGGGGGATCACTGGGATGAAGGATGGGGTATGATGCGGGAGGTAGATGGGCTGGGGGAATCTCTGGGGTTGTGGTTGAGGGAGATGGAGGTGGGGAATCCGTGGGGTTGATCGAGCTTTGGACTAAAAGGCTGAGGGCCCTTGATGCTGTTGGAGGGTTCCCAGAAGTCAGCATATTCCTTAGGGCTACATCAGAACAGGGTTGTTGTGGGTTCGAGATGGTGTGTGTGTGAATCCGTGGGGTATATGTGTGCACAAATGTATGATGTGTGTTTAATAATAGCCCTCTGTGTGCGTGCAGGTTCTCGTGTATGTATACTGTAGCTGCTTTTTGATATGAGAAAATCATGTGTGTGTCATGTAAACATGTCAGCATGACCATGCTGGGTATCTATACCTCTTGGGTGTATTTTTCTTTCTGATCATGTTATGTGTCTGGGTGTGCATCAGTGTAAGCATGTGCATGGCTGCGTGAGCATGTTGTTGATCAGGTGGGGGGGTGCGCATACATGCGATGCATGTGTGTGGTGTGCAAATGCATTATGTTTATAAATGAGCAGGTTTGTGTATAGAAGTGTGTGTCTGTGTGTGTGAATGAAAGCGAGGTGTATGAAAAGTAGTGTGTGTTGGTGCAAGTGCAGTAAGTGTGTGTGTGTGTGCGGGGAGAGGGCTACACGAACACTCTTTCAGCCGTGTGTTGCCACCTCCTGGGTAGCTCCTCAGCACAGAAATAGGCAGCCCTTTCCTTCCACTGTTTTAGTCACAGCTGATCCAGACCTAGCAATAGGTCCTGACTGCCCCCTTCGGCGTGGCACCATGCCACCTCTCATTGACCTCGAAGAGCTCCTGACTTTGCCTGCGGGTCCCTCCTGGCCTGGCTGGGGTGAGAGCAGCAGGGAAGGAAAAGGAATGGTTTAATCTAATCTCATGCGCCTGTCACTGCTATATCTCCGCAGTGACATACTGGAACTGACCCTTTGTAGATTGCCATGGTGGTGTGGGGGAAGTGTATGTGTGTGCTTGGTAGGTGTGTGTGTCTGGTGCCCCTGTATCTTTTGTCTGGGGTGTGCATCTGCTGTGTGGCGTTTGCGTGTGTGTGTATGTGTCTGATGTTAGAGTGTGTGCATGTGAGAGAGAGAGTCCCTTTTTGTCTGCTGTGTGTGTGCACTGCATGCTCCCCCTGGCTATGTCCCTGGTGGGGCCTGAGAAATTCCATAGGAACACAGGAGCTGCCAGACTGGATCAGACCTGAGGGCCATCTAGCCCAGTGTCCTGTCTCTGAGAGCGGCCAGCACCAGCACAATAGCAGATGGGAGATAATCTGCCCCCCACCCCTGCATAACTCCCATCCTGATCTCTAATAGAGGTTGTCTGAAGCCCTGAAGCATACCCCATTTCTGCCCATCCTAGGTCCCTTGTCCTTGGCTTGACCCCCTCAAACCCTAGAGCCCAGGGTGGGACGCCTGCTGACCTCATTCTTTCATTGTCTGCAGGAGCACTCTTCCTTCCTGCACACGCTGGCTCTGCTGCAGTCCATCCCCCTCGCCAGGGTGCTGGGGAGTGGGAGAATGGGATGATGCAAATGAGGAGCACCTGCTCCATGCTGTGGGTCCTGCATTGCATTAGCAATTCTGCCCCCCCCCCCACACACACACACTCATCATCACTGCCTCCGTTGGTTTATTTCCAATCAGACTGCACTGGCTGGACCTGTCCCAGGCAGACCAGCTCTCCGCAGTGGGAGGCAGGCAGGCTCCCTTTGAACACGCATGGCCCTATTGACTGGACCTGCGGGACCTCCCTGGACCTGCAGGCTGTAATTACAGCAAAAAAGAAAG